TTTGGGATGATGCATGCGATAAAAAGTGAGAAGCTTTCTTTGTTTTGGCGTCCATTCGCTTTAATTTCAGCTATGGTCCAGTTAAGGACATTAAAGCTGTATTACACCACAGGGACAGCCAATGTGTTTATGGCTGATATCTGTTTTTTGAGTTTAGCTCAGTATTTTAGTACCAGAAACGTAGACGCCTGTAGTATTATTTTTAATTTTTTTCTTTCATTTGGGGGTGTTGTATGCCATCTCCTTCGCTAATTCCTAGGTACTTATAAGCTTCACCATGCTCCAGTTCCCTAATCTTTGTGACAAAATCTAAATCTATTAAGGGTGTTTCTGTAATTCTACTTTTTTGAAAGTTCTTTTTGAAATATTGCAAATATAAATTATTATTATTATTATTATTATTTATAATTATTTGAGCAATATTGATCTTTTTAATCTGCAAAAACGTTAGAAAAATTAGTTTTACGACAATCAAAAAAATATCCATATTTTTTTTTTTAATTCAAAGTATTTTAATTAAGAAAAAAGAAAAAAAACATTCGACCAAAAATTGGAAAAACAAATTTAAGAACATTTATTTCAAATTATAAAAATGACATTTTCTTAAATATATTTTACATTTGATTAGAATATTTTCAAATATTATATAAGATTTTAGCTATTTTGAAAAAATGTATATTGATATTTTTTTTTTTTATATGATTGAAGCCTCACTTATGAAAATTTGTAAATTAAATAAATATTATATATATATGTTTTTTATTATAAATATTTTCATATCAGATAAAGATGAAAATCTTAGATAACATCAGACATAATATTATTATTATTATTATTAATCTATTTTAATTTCGACATATTTCAGCAAAGTTTTTCAAGCCTAAGATTTTTTTTTATATTTTTAAATTTATATTTAAAATTATATAAAAATAAAATAGACATTGATAAAATGTATTATTATTTTTTAATTTTATTATTATTTCATTTCATTAAATTGACATTTTTTAATTTAATATTATATTATTTTATGTAATTTTTTTTTTTCATTTATTTTTATTCATTTAATTATTGTTGTTAAATAAAATTTTTATTATTATTTTTTATTATTTTTTTATTATTATTATTATTATTATTTATAAATTATTTTTTTGTTATTATAAATTTAAATTATTATTTATTAATTTTATTATTATTTTTATTTTTTATTTTTTTATTATTAAAAATTAAATTTTGTTGTTGTTGTTTTATTTATAATTATTATTTATTTATTATTATTTGTTGTTTATTTTTTGTTGTAATTTCTTTTTTATTATTTTTTTTTGTTATTAATTTAGTTATTTATTTTTGTTATATCAACTTTTTTTATTATTATTATGAATTATTTTTTATTATTATTATTATTATTCAATTTTCAATTTTTATTATTTAAAAAATTTTGTTATTTGTTGTTGCTTTCAAATTATATTATTTTTGTATTTGTTTACATTGTTATTCATTTTTTTAGAAAAAAATTTTATTATTTTTTTGTTTTGCAAAAAATTGTTTTCATATTATTATTATTATTATTTTTATTATTTATTATTATTATTTATTAGGTTATATATTTTCATATTATAAATTTTTTTTTTTAATATATTAATTTATTCTTATATGTTTTTACCTCAAAAAAATATTATCATTTTCTATAATGGTCGTTAATTTGCTTATTTTTGTTGAAACTCTTAGTTTATGGGATTTAGAAATTTTCATTTTTTATAGGTTTTGTATATTTATTTGGAAGAATGTTTATTTCGTTTTTAGAAATTTCTTTCAAATAATTAAAATTCATTTTTTTTATTTTTTTTAAGATTAAAAAATCATATAAATTTGTTAATTTGATAGTTTTAAAATCTTAGAAATTTTAAAAAAAAAGAATGATACTTCTATGTCAATAAAATTTTTTCTTTTGAATGGGATTTTTATAAAATTGAATTGGTATGTTTTGAGGATAGTTACATCGTCATATAGTTAAAAATCAGGCCATTTTCATTCTGTTAAAAAAATTTAGATTATGCTTTTTCTTAATATCTTCCTTTAACATATATCATTAAAAATAATTTTTAATAATAATAATAATTTTATATTATTATTTTTATTATTTATTTTGATTTTGATTATTAATATTTTTTTCAGGTCCCAACCAGAGACCCTAAGGTCAGAAATTTTTCATTTTAACATTTAGCAATGCTTATGATTTTATTAAAAAATACAATCGAAGATCATACATATTTTATATATATAAAACCCTTCGTAAAGCGTGAGCTGTACTTTTGAGTACCATTTCTTCAAGGCATGGTCTACCAAGAACCCCATCTTTGAGTCTATTGGAAATTTTTTCCAATCAAATTTAGGAAATGTTTTAGTCTTTGTAATTATTGATGCTTTCTTGTGCCAAATTGTTTGAGATTTCCACTTCAAGTTCCTTGGATTCTGATATGCTTTGAAGATTTTCACCGATACATTCCAGTCTGCAGGGACTGATTTTTTAAATAAAATAAAATTGTTTTGTGTTTCTGTTTAATTTTCAAAAAAATCGATATCTGGGCATTAGATCTGATTGTTCTCTCTGTTCTTTTTTCCACAAACACCCATTTTCAAATTTCTTCTTATCGCTGTAACTCTTTTTTAAATTGAAAAAAAGTTACGGTATTTGCATTTCAGGTTAATTTTTTTTTTTTCAGTGTTTTATAATACTTAGTAATTTAAGATTTCAAAAATTGGTCCTGTTACAGCAAGAAAAAATTTTCAGGTTCAGCTTTTAATATATCTATATACTTATCCGTGATGGACACAGGGTTTATCCACATAAGATTGTTTAGGATGGTAACCGTATTTTCAAAATCCAACATTATTTTGCATTTTTTTTTTTCTCTCTTTGTTCCATTGAATTTGCTTTTGCTTTCTTTTTTAGATTCTTAGTAGATGTATTATGATTTATCAGCACTTCTTTACTCACTTGAAATCCCATTTTGAATTTGTTGTCTGCCTTTATTACTGAATACAGTTAATCATTTCTTTCAGATTTTTTTCGCAGACCATTATCAATCCTTTTGTAGTTTCAGGGTACCTTTAAAACCGATTATTCTGGTTTTGAAAGACAGTTCTAGTTGAACTAATCCTCTACCTCCTTCGGCTCGGGACACATACAGACGATCAATATAAAGCATTTATTGATGATGCATGCCGTTTTTTTTTTTCTTTCTTGTTTTGACATCTATTCGCTTAATGGGAGCTATAAATAGGTATTTTGTAACGGCATTGCATCACAGGGACAGCAAATCTTTAAATGCATATTTAAATGCAATGTCAATCGCCATCTTCTCTAAAAAGACTTTTGTTCTTTTATTGTCCTTTTATTTCAACAAATTCGTTTTCATATTATATTAGAATTAATAAATCTTTGTCTTGATAATTCAACACGGTATTTAACACCAAACGCACACGCCGATATTATTATTATTGTTTAAACACAATGATTTAGACTCTTAAATCGCGCTATTCTCTGTCATTTGTGTTATTATTATTATTATTATTATTATTATGAATGCAAGGTCATTGTTTGTATGAAGGTACAAATGAAAAGATTTAAAATTGACAATGTTTCCATTTCACTGAAGCAGATGATAAACCCATAGCAGCGTTATTTCCTCTTTCTTTCTTTATTTATTTATTTCTGTGTTTCTTTTTCTCACTAAAACCAGTGTCACTGCTATGCCGGTTTTATCCGTCTTACTGCGCAATCAGAAGTGAACAGTCCATTATTCATATGAGATAATGACATGGTGTAGCGTACTGGCTAAATAAGGAACGAAATAAGATTAAATATAGAATATTCCATTATTTATGAGGTATTGGCAGGACGTAGCGGTCGTGGGAACTAAATAAGGAAATAACTAACGAAAGAAAAGAGGGATGGATAAGCAGAGCTGTAATAGAGATTTTGCACTTAGTTCAAATAAGACCCCCAAAAAAAATATAAATGTATATATATCTTAAATAGGGATATATATATATATATATATATATATATATATATATATATATATATATATATATTGTAATTTGAAATTCACATCTTATCATATAAATAAATACTGAAAATTGTGTCTCCATTCGTATTGCTGGAATCTAGAAAAGGGAAGTAAATGTCATTTTTAATTGTTTGAGATTAAACCACTTTTGACATGAGGGAAGTGAGTGCTATCATTATATGTAAAAAAAATGTTTATGTCAGCTGAAGTCTATTTTAAGGTAATTGGGAATACGCAAAGATGCAAGCTTGGATAAAAAGTTAATTTCTGGATAAGGGAATCTGCAAAAAAATATACTTATCGCATCCTCAAAAAAGCAACATATTGGTATAAAAACAGTTTTTAAAATTTTTTATTTATATTGTCTTTACAGAGAAATTTTATTTATATCTGAATTTTTTATTATATATATATATATATATATATATATATATATAAAATAATTGATGTGAAATTTGTGATCCTGGGTTCACGCTTTCCTTGTATGTCTGATGATCGTTGAATTGAGCAAAATTAAAAACTCATATCAATCAAACTAAATATGTTAGTTCTATCATGATGCTTTCCCATAAAAATACCGCGCATATATAGAATATAAAAAAAACATAAATAAAAATCTCTCTCTCTCTCTATCTCTCTCTCTCTCTCTCTCGTAATTCTCTATCTATATATCTTGAAAGAAATCTAGCTATCTAATTTTGAAGGTGTAACTTTGGATATAAAGAGTTGAGAAAGGACCGGAGTTTAAGTCTCTTATATTAAATTGGTTTCTCTGATATCCAGGTTTGGTCTATTTTATATACATTAACACAGGCTCTAATTTGGGACCAGAGAAAATCTCTCTTATATCCGTGTTTCTCTTATATCCGGGTCTATTTAATTTCAGGTTACACTCTAGGAAATTTCTATCTAAATATATATATATATATATTATATATATATATAGATAGATAGATAGATAGATAGATAGAATAGATTTGAAAGAAAGTGATATAGAAGATAGATAGATAGATAGATAGATAGATAGATAGATATGATAGATAGGGTTTCTCTGATATCCGGGTTTATTTTATTTTATATACAAAAAACACAGGAAATTTGGGTTTAGAGAAAAAAATCTTATATCCAGTTTCTCTTATATCAGGGTCTCTTAATTTTAAACTGTATCTAATTATCTATATAAATATAAAATATATATATATATATATATATATAGATAGAAGATAGATAGTTTGAAAATAAGATAGATAGATAGATAGATAGATAGATAGATAGATAGATAGATATAGATATATTTATATATATTGTCTTAATTTTACAAAAACGGATTCTTTAAAGCATCCTTTTTCGAACAACACTTCTTCAGAAGAATACATTGGTAACTTCTTAGATAAACAATATGAAAAAAATTTTGTTTTTGAAAGAAAATTATATACATCAAGGGTGGGGGTTAAATTTGCAAATTTATATCAAAGCGAAATCTATTACGAAAAAAAGTATATGGTAATAAACAAAATTTATATAGGTTCTATATATCTGAATATATATATATATATATATATATATATATATATATATATATATTATAAGCTATTCTTAGTAAGAAAAAAAGATATATTTGAAAAAAAGGGAAAAAAAAAAATTGTTTTGCACTGACCCCTCTTTTTAGGCCAAGCTTTCAAAGAATATTAGAAGATTGTCAAACAAAAATACTCATTTTTCTAAAATCAGCCATTCAAAATTTTTAATTAGAAAATCGAACAAAGCAACAATCTGCCAAAACAATTACTAGATTTCAGGTTAAAAATATTTTCAATCTTCTTCACTGTCTCGATTATGAAATCAATATTGGAAATCCGAGATTCTTGCCCTCAAACAGAGTCAAGTGATACTCGTGCAAATCTTATAAATATCACGGAGGCGTCCGCAGTAAGAGCGGTGTCAACTGAAAAGATGTCCTTTTGATAGATTTTGTTTCATAAGTTAGGGTCTTAATAATTATAAAAATAGCTTTTTAAAACAATAATAATTGCCGAGGGAGTATATAGTAATAGAAGTGTCAAGGGAAAAAAACCCAGCCTTTTGATGAATCCAGATTGATATGTTAGGGTTTTAATAATTATAAAAATGGCTTTTTAAAACAATAATAATTTCCGAGGGAGTATACAGTAATTGCGGTGTCAGGAGAAAAACCATCCTTTTGATAAATCCAGATTCATATGTTAGGGTTTTAATAATTATAAAAATAGCTTTTTCAAACAATAATAATTGCCAAAGGATCTTTTTTACAGTAATTGCGGTGTCAGGTTTGAAAAACCGTCTTTGATAATGAATCCAGATTGATATTTAGGGTTTTAATAATTATAAAAATAGCTTTTTAAAACAATAATAATTACCGATAAATACATGTAATTGCAAATTTTCAGTAGTAAAAAACCATCTTTTTGATAAATCCAGATTCATATGTTAGGCTTTTAATAATTATAAATATAGCTTTTTAAACATTAATAATTGCCGAGGGAGTATATACTAATAGAAGTGTCAAGAGAAAAAAAAACCTTTTGATAAATCCAGATTCATATGTTACGGTTTAAATGATTATAAAAATATATTTTTCAAATAATTATAATAATTGTCGGAGGAGTATACATTAAGAATAGAATAATCACACGAAGGTTGGTAATGAACGATAATACATAAGACAAGAACAACACATATAAGATTCGCCAGCGGCGCGTAGAAGAAGTAGTCAACTGCTAGAATTGAATAAAGTGAATTCCACAATGAATCTCTAACTGCAGGATATCTACCAACCGCCCCACGCGGTCAGATGTGGCACAAGGCCGAATTTAATGTGGGGTATCCGAGCCCGTAGGCTCGGCCAAAAATTCCCCGTAGACCCCGTATAAAACGGGGTCGGGTAGCTGTTTCCGAGACGAGACTCTGCCCTTCGACATAGCCTCGTCTGGGGATCCTCTCTGCCCGGAGGCAGAGAGTTTGACCAGCACGGCTGGAGACGAATCTCTAACTGCAGACCAACATACAGTATTTACTACTGTATTTATGTGAATGGGGAGATATCCATTATCGTCCGTAGGTATGCTACAACAGAATACAAAAATTATGAGAGTTTTTAATGTTCTATTTAAAACAAATATTCTACATAGATTACATTTATTTGAATTTTCCCTTTTAAAAAAAAAACTTAAATTTTTTATGGATAAAAAAATAAAAAAAAAAAAAAAAAAAATACCACTAAACAAGAAAAGGTTAATGAACTAAAGTTCTATTGAGAAAAAAAAGGTTTGTCAGTGTTTGATTTTTTTTTTATTCAAAAAAAAAAAAAAAAAATTGTTTTCAAAACCCAAGAAAAATTGAGAGAAAAGATGAATTGAATATGAATAAAATAAAAAAAATGACAGAGGAAACA